ATTGTATTCTGCCATTCAATGTCATATCAAACATCAGATTTATATACTGTTAACAGCTTTTGCTGAAATCATGGAGTTATTGACATTTCACAAAATGTCTACCCTTTTTCTTCTTTCACATTCCTCATCAATATGTTCAAATACATTAACATGAGTGAATCTTATATTACTGGTATCCTTTTCAGGTCCTGAATGCACAAATGTGCAGGTCACATTATAACACTCAGGTGCCTAAATCCAGTATTACATGAACATACGGGTCTTTGGCTACATTCACAATTCTTTATTAACTATTTTCCAAACACCAACATACCATAATCTTGAGGAGGAGCAGAAACAGAGTGAAATCTTAGAGGGGAAGAAAAGAAACAAGAAATTTAATATTTACCTGTTATTTCCATATATTTACAGCAGGAAACAAGTATGATCTAAAATCACCTATTCTTGATTTACTGAGTCAGAAAGGGATGCAAGTACAGAGGGTCATATATTTATATGACCAGTATTTGATTCAGAAGAACATCAAATCTTTAAAACATCATCAATTTCATACCAATGCTGAAGGACGGATAGTGGATTGTTGTATTTCCAGAACAGTAGTGATGGATGTAGTAATAGTGGCATGTATTATTTTCCTTGCTTTCATTTAATATTAATTTTATCAAAAAAAAATGTTCCAAATAAATGTTGCAGATGTTAGAACACCTGTGTTCTCTATGGTATCTTTTTTGCATGATGAGTACCATATTCTCTTGCATAAAAGATGCAGCTCTTTCCCAAAAATGCCCTAAACATCATGACGCATGTTATATATGGGACATAATGATGAAAATGAGGTAAATAAATAATGGGCACATGGCTAGCAAGCAAGTTATAAATAAATAAATATGTTAGAATTAATTAATAAAGAATAAATTGTTTGATAAACAAGAATTTTAAAAGAATACTTGAGAAAATAAAATTGCATAGTTTCTCCCTCCCAACCCGTTGTTTGATTTGAGACATCAACATGCTGTGTTATGTGGGACTGATAATGCCCACAGTGAACTGCACCTGACAATGTTTTGTGCAGTCCAAAAATAACAAACAACAATGAAATTCAATATGTAATTTCAGAGAGGAGACATGTAAATGAGAAAGATACATATACATTATGTATTCATTTCATACATTTTGCCCAAAAAATGACAAAAAATGAACAATTGGAAAGAAAGAGGTAAGCACTGGCATGTTTTCAGATTAATGTGAGTTTACTTCCTTACAGAACAATTTTCATATACTCAAGAATGACTAGTATGAACTTTTTCCACTCATTTTAGTAATTTGATTTTGTAGATTGACCTTGCATCATAGAGTAGTCAAGGATCAGAGAAGTGACCTGACCTTTTCCAAACAACATATATAAGTACACAAATAGTGAGTGATAACGGTCAAGTTACTCCCAGAACCAACACCGTACCATGAAAGCATACAGAGGTTATCAAAATAAAGCCTCATGCATTCTAAACCTCAGAATTGGATGGACATGAGCAGCCAACTTCATGCTCTGACTGCTTTACTCCGAAGGAATGAGTCTCCACTGGAACAGGAAGCCAAATAAGCCTGAGAGAGACTGGACAAAATGACAACAGGAAGAAAAAAAATTGCTACTGGGGAGTGGAGTCCAGCTGGGTCCACTTGGCACGGTGGCCACTGATTGGCCTATTGTACCTGCCCCGGGTGATTATGATGGAGAATTTGGTGGAATGAAAATTGGCAGGGGAAACTGAAGTACTCAGAGAAAACCCACCCAGCGCCACTTTGTCCACCACAAATCCCACTTGACCACATCCGGGATCGAACCCAGGCCGCTGCGGTGGGAAGCCAGTGACAAACTGCTTGAGCTATGGTGCGGCCTACAAGAGGAAGAATCTTTCCGTTGAGAGAACTGAACCCCAGTGGTGCACTCACAGCCAGACACTTTACTGAGAAATCACAACTGACAAGTCACCAGTAAGTAAAAAAAATTAATTAATTAATTAAAGTCATAACCTGCTATAAAATTATTAACTTCGATTTGCATAAACTTTCTACAGGATACTGATAAAATAATCAAAAATATTTCATTTTAATGAACATTAGCTTTCAACCTCAATTTCCACAGCTGTCATTCTTTTTAGACATGCATCGGTAACTTCAGATATAAGATAATGTTTCCACGTGTAAATGTTCACTTCTCAAAATTACAAAAATATATGGCAAAATTTATATACATCCAGAAATAATATCAAGAGCATAAAACTCAATAATATTCCATCAAAATCTGCTGATACTGTTTACACCCTTACAATGACTCTGACGCAAATGCTCATACAACAAAAAAACAATCTCTTGAAGTACAACAATAATATCCATAAGTTTGCCTAACATGGCTTTTAGGATACACCATACCCTGAGTAACCTTGTAGAGCCAGTGTGTTCCACAAGCTCTGCAGTATGGCAATTTTTGCTTCCATCATAGGTTGAAAGTGGAATCTAGTTACTTTCAAATGATGACTTAATGATCTGATGATGATGCACACTTATATATGTTGCAGACACAGAATATCAACTGGGTTCACCATGTAACACTGCAGATACCACATGTACTTAATGGTAAGGCATTATGAAGACACAATTATACAAAAAGCACATTGTGAGACTTACATAACTTGTTTTATTATGCAATCAAGTGAGCCTATATTACTGGACTGAAAATACAAGGGTTTTCATTGGCTGGTTATCTGACTGGTTCATTTATCTTATTCAAAAAGTATCAATTGTCAACTGCATACTTCATTTGCATACAGTTCACCTGCTGATTATCAATAATGTGACGTGGACGGCGCAATGCTCGGTAAACCCCTCCCCCCTCCAGCAGTGACATAACAGCATCGGAGCAACTGCTGCTGCTACGGTAACAGGCCAGTCAACACTCAGTCCCCTCCCCCGCGGTGACATAACAGGGGATACTGCGGTTACTATGCAGCAATAAACAACTCTTAGCAGCGTTCCCCAGCATCGCCTATAAACACGGTGTTTACACAACAGTGGTAGCTATCACATAACTGTTTTCTATGTTGTCAGTGCGGAAGCTACATAACGAGAGGATTACCGGAGTAACCAGTCAGTTGCAGTCTAGCACTCACCGGAGTGAATGGAAGCAGTGGAAGTAATTGTGATACTGCCAATGGCAGTAATTGAGTAATTGTGAAACTGTAAACTGTGTAACTATAAGAGTGAGTAGAATAAATTCGCTAGATCCAAGACTGCGTGAAGTTATTTGTCGTGTGACATACATACCCAACACATGATAATTTGACGTCAGAATTGGTTTACAAAACTTAAACATGCCACAATTTCGTCAGAGCTCATCGACTGAAGTGATTATTGACGTGAAGACTGAAGTGTGTGTTTACAGTGTTGTCATATGAAAATGGAACCCCAACAACTGATGCAACTCAATCAGCTTCACCCCAATTACAAAAATAGTTTTTTTTAAATGACCTCAAACCCTACAACTGGATCACTGTCAGTAATACTTTTTGACAGAGACTGGAAATTGTTTCATTGAACAGGTATTAAGAGAAACCTGAAACATTTATCAGTCTGGAGAAGGGAAATATGTTTATACAAGTCCCACTGAAACAGAGAGTAAAACCTGCTTATAGTAGAGTTGCTATGGGTTTGAACATTTTTCCACTTGAACTGTTTCCATTTAATTAAGATGCCAGGCTTGCTTCTCCACACAAAGTACCACACTGCAATATCCACCAGCATGTAAAGATGAGGCACACAGTGGGTAGGAACAGTTGACTTTCATCATTTAACTGTTCACTTAGTGACACAATGAGCTTCAGCGTACAAGAGTCTGATCTCTCTGGAAGACGCACTTCGTCAACCATTGCATGCTTATGTATTGTCTCTCTCCTCTGCCACAGTTTGTTTGGATTTATTAGCTATGTAAGATTTGAGGTTCTCATGGGTTGTGACACCATGTAGTTTGGTGAATAGATACCAACAATGTAGAAGAACCTGCTCACTCTATTTTCAGGGTCTTTTACCCTAAACATGGAGGTGGTAGGGTCCTCTGAAATGTTGGCATATATCTACCTAACTACATGTCATCACATTCCAGATGAACATATTCTTGATTTATTATCTCATTGTTTTATCGCTCTGTTCTGCCTCCTGATGATGAGACATGAATATATACAGTGCGGCTAACGCTGACCCAATGCTGGATCAGGGCTACCCACTTAACTGCAGCGTTCAGTGGTCTTACTGCAATAATCTACGTTAAAACATGCATCTTGCAAGTAAGTACATGTGGTAAGTAAAAATCAGGAGTTAATATCACAAATAAACTGAAATAAAAGAAGCTACCTAAATGCAGAATTTACACACCAGAAAAAGTAACAGTAGAGATGTCTCATCAATTTTCCAGTTGCTACATAATTATCAGATATCATCATCTTCACTGTTAGGATTACTAATAACAAGATGCCTATGTAAATGCTCTCCATCATCACCAAGACCACTAGAATTCTGGTATGATCGATTCTCACCAAATCCAGCTACCATATTACTCAGTCCCTTAAGGCCGCCTCTACCACCGTGTCGATATCCATGCAACTGACACTGCAATACTTCTCCCAAATCATTACCACTAAAAGAACGACTCATTCTTCTAGCCATGTCATCACTCACATATGCAGCACTTGCACCATCCATGCCACTAAGTCCTCTAATCCCAACATATTTCCTTAAGTGTTCTGATTTGGAGCCCCAGTCTTGGTTTGGAACTTTGTTTAAATGTTTGGGACACTGCTGATCCCCACTTCCATAGCCACATGCTCTGTTAACGATATGCCTTCCCAATCCATCACCACCCATGCTGACAATCCCAGCACCACCTAAAGGTAAAGCACCTACAATATCCCGATAAGCATTAACACCTTGCTGAGGTTCTCTATACGCACCGTCAAGCGAAGGTGCCATCATGGCCTGGTTCAGAAGGAGACTGCTGTTACTGTGGCTACTGTGAGGTTGTTGCAACTGTGGCTGTACCACTTGCTGCTGCTGTTGTAGATTAACAGGAACCAAGTTGTGTGTGGAGCCAGACGCCTCACTGGCTAGACTCCCAGTCTGACTTACGCCATTCTGCAAAATAAATAAGTGAATCAGGTGGACAACCTGAACTCCATGGCACTTACATGTCTATTTATGTCACATATATAGCGGCCTCCGTAGTCTAGAGGTAACGTTCCCACCTCATGACTCGTAGTACGCGGGTTCAAATACCTGGCGGAGGTCGTCAAATTTTTAAGGGCGGAAAAATTCAGGGAACAAGTCCTCCGGGAGGGACTTTAAGCCGTGGGTCCCATGTCGTAGCTTTACGACACGTAAAAGAACCTCATATCTCCAAAGGACGTCACTGAGCCAAATTAACGGACGTTTCCCGCCCAACAGTAGTCTCTAATACCTCTGGTAGATGGGGGAAGCATCATAGATACCTCTCAGCTAGTATAGCCGGTCTCGCTGGCTGGGCAGGACTGATGGTAAGCATCAATACCGGTAGGATATAGAGACTGGTAGAATATCATAGAGGGAAGCACAATGGACCAATACAGGTCTAAGTGCATTGGGAAACCCACCCTCTCCAATAACTAACTATGTCACATATATGAAGCCACTGTGTAAGGGGTCAGACACTTCATTGGGTACACTCACAATCTGATGTATATGCCATTCTGTACGCAGTTTCTTCTATGGCTGCAAAAGATTTCTTGAAAATTTATAGTAGATTTCATGTCAACAGCAGCAGTTTCAGTCCTTCATGAAAAGCTTACAAGTTACTATTGTATGACAACTCTGAAACAGGAATGTACAAAATCTGGTCCACAGTGTCTAAAATATTGATGTTACAAATGCTGTCTGCACAGTGATAATGTACAGGTGACTGTGTAAATGTAAACAGTACTAAATACTGTGTAAGTTTTGAGGTTTTCACAGCGATGACTATGAAGAAAGTCGTCTTCTGGGTTTAGGCGCCGTGTATTCGTTTTGGCCNCGTAAAAGAACCTCATATCTCCAAAGGAGGTGACTGAGCCAAATTACGGACGTGTCCCGCCCAACAGCAGTCTCTAATACCTCTGGTAGATGGGGGAAGCATTATAGATACCTCTCGGCTAGTGGAGCCAGTCTCGCTGGATGGGCGGGGCTGATGGTAAGCACCAGTACCGGTAGGATATAGAGACTGGTAGAAATCATAGAGGGAAACACAATGGACCAATACAGGTCTAAGTGCGTGGGAAACCCACCCTCTCCAATAACTAACTATGTCACATATATGAAGCCACTGTGTAAGGGGTCAGACACTTCATTGGGTACACTCACAATCTGATGTATATGCCATTCTGTACGCAGTTTCTTCTATGGCTGCAAAAGATTTCTTGAAAATTTATAGTAGATTTCATGTCAACAGCAGCAGTTTCAGTCCTTCATGAAAAGCTTACAAGTTACTATTGTATGACAACTCTGAAACAGGAATGTACAAAATCTGGTCCACAGTGTCTAAAATATTGATGTTACAAATGCTGTCTGCACAGTGATAATGTACAGGTGACTGTGTAAATGTAAACAGTACTAAATACTGTGTAAGTTTTGAGGTTTTCACAGCGATGACTATGAAGAAAGTCGTCTTCTGGGTTTAGGCGCCGTGTATTCGTTTTGGCC